TTTTTGGATTTTTGAATAATTGCATATATAGATATTGAGGTATATTCAGGATGGTACACAAATCTAAACATAAAATCATTTGTGTTTCATATATACCTTATACACATAGCCTGAAGGTAATTTCAAAGAATATTTTTAGTGTGCCTGTATTTTGGCTGTGATTCATGAAGAAGTCAGGTATGGAATTTTCCACTTGTGGCATCATGTCATCAATGAAGAAGTTTGTGATTTTGGAGTATTTTGGAATTCAGGTTTTTGGATTAGTGAAGCTCAAACTGTACTACGTTGAATAAGAGTGATGAGCATGAATATCTGCATCATTCCAGTCTTAGGGAGAAAACATTCAGACTTTCACCATCAAAGTATGAGTTAACTGTTGGGTTTTGCCTTTTTGTGTTTTTAAATGGATGCTCTTCATCAAGCTGAAGAAATTCTCTATATCTAATTTGCTGCGAGTCTTATCATGAATGGCCGTTGCATTTTGTCAATACTATGAATTTATATAATCTTGTGATTTTTCTTCTTTAGCCTGTTAATATGTGTGTGTGTGTGTGTGTGTGTGGGTTATGCGGATTGATTTTTGAATAGTGATGCAGACTATTCATAGGATAAACCCTACTTGGTTGTGGCATATATATTTTTGGATATATGCAGGAATTGATTAATAATTTTTAAAAGGATTTTAAATTCATGAGCAATATTGGCCTATAGTTTTATTTTTTTTGGTACTGTTTTAGGTTTTATTATTAGGGTAATAGTGGTCTCAGAATAAGTTGGTGACTATTTTCTTTTTTCTAGAAGAGATTGTGTAGAATTTATGCTAATTTTTCTTTAAATGTTTAGTACAATTCTCCAGTGAAACCATCTGGGTTTGTAAATTTTCATTTGAAAGCTTTTTTTTTAAAAAAAAAAAAAACTATTGTTTCAATTTCTGTAGTAGTTTTATAACTATTCAGATTATCTATTTAATATCATTTCAGATTACCCAACAGTGGATGAGTTATGGTAGTTAGTTTTATGAGGAATTGGACTATTTCATTCAAGTTGGAGAATTTATGTGCATTGTTATTTATGGTATTCCTCTACTGTCCTTTTTTTCAAATATATTTTTTTTAGTTGTAGTCGTCAATACCTTTATTTTATTTATTTGTATGTGGTACTGAGAATCAAACCCAGGGCCTTGCACGTGCTAGGCTAGTATTCTTCTGCTGAGCCACTGCTGAGCCACATCCTTAGCCCCTTTTTATTCATTTTGAGACAGGGTTTCACTAAGTTGCTTAGGGCTTCTCTAAGTTTCTGAGGATGCTTTTGAACTTGTGATCCTCCTGCCTCAGCCACTTGAGCTGCTGGGATTACAGGAGTGGGTCACCATGCCCAACTGTCTTATCTCTTTTTGTTTTTATCAGTCTTGCTAGTTGATTACCAACTTTATCCATCTTTTCAAAGGGCCAGCTTTGGGATTCATTGATTTTTCTCTATTGTTTTTCTGTTTTCATTTCTGCTCTATATTTATTACTTCCTTTTGCTTGCTTTGGGGTTTACTTTGCTCTTCTTTTTCTAGTTTTTTGAGATGGGAGCTTGGATGGTTAATTTCAGACCTGTCTTCTTTTCTAATGTAAACACTTAGTGCTATAAATTTCTCAATGCTGCTTTAAGAACTGTATTTCATAAATTCTGATATATTGTATTTTGATTTTTATTTATTTAACTTCCCTTAGGACTTTTTCAATCTATGGATTATATAGAAATAAACTAATTTTCAAGTGTTTAGAGATTTTCTTATCTTTCTGTTATTGATTTTTAGTTTGGTATTCTTATATTCAGAGAAAATGCATTGTTTAATTTAAATTTGTGAAGGTGTTGACTCAGGCATAGTCTATCTTTGAGAATATTGATAGGTGCTTGAAAAGAATGTGTATTCCATTAGTGTTTCTCTGGAGTAAGCTGGGTATTTTTCAAAAGAGGTTTTCTGATTAGTGAGATCCCCTTTCTTCTGTTACTTTGATTAAGGAGAGTTTCTTTTTTTTTGAAGCTTTTTTTTTTTTTTTTTTTTAATCTGGGCTTGTTGGTTGTTCTGAATTGTTAATTCCACCAGTAACTTTTGGTGATGTATGGGAGGGAAAAAGTAAACCCAGGTAACTCACAACTGGTTTTGTTACTGAAGTTCTGTGATATGTAGGCTATTCACCTTTCTTTTCTGTCTTTCAGATTCTTCCTATTTCTCTTTGCTATGTTATGTCAGGTTTTTTATTTTTTCCAGTCTCTTCTATACTCACTGGTTTCTTCTTTTCTTTTCTAGTATTGATTTTGTTTGAGAGGGAGGGAGGAGGAGAATGCATGGGGGATGTCCTGCAAAATTATTGTTTTATTTACAATTTTATATGTATTAATTAATTTTATTTGTATTAATTTGTATTAATTACTATTTTGCTTAATTTTGGTTTTCTTACTACTAATGCTTTAGGTTGAATACTTAACTCATTTTGGTTGTATTTACTTTTTATTTAAAAAAGCCATTTAAGGGGCTGGGATTGTGGCTCATCGGTGGAGCGCCCGCCTAGCATGGGCAGGGCCCTGGTTCGATCCTCAGCACCACATAAAAATAAAGGCATTGTGTTGTGTCCATCTACACCTAAAAAATAAATATTAAAAAAAGCCATTTAAAGCCAAAATTTCAGTGTAAACACAACTTTGTGTTCCATAATTTCTGATAAAAATTGTAAAGTGTTTCTATTGATTTTCCACTTTGATACTGGGGTTATTTAGGGAGTATTTTTCCTTTTGTTGTGGCACTGGGATTAAACCCAGTGCCTGCACATGCTAGGCAAGCACTCTATCATTGTGCTACATTCCCAACCCATTTTTAATTTTTATTTTGAGTCAAAATCTCTCTAAGTTTCTGAGGCTGGTCTCAAATTTGTGGTTCTCTTGCTTCAGTCTCCTGAGTAGCTCGGATTACTGTTACATTCCACCATACCTTACTTTCTCTTCATTTTAAGTGGATATTTTCCCTTTCTTAACAAGAATGTCTAAATATATAGTGCCTCTAGTAATTGACCAGAGTAAAATTATACTTCAATTTGGACCCAAAATTACTCTTTCCTCCTAGGTTCCCTCAATAGGAGTAGTTTTCTCTCCAAACGTTTTTTGAGATAATTGAAAAGTTTTAGCCCCAGGCTATTAATATTTTTCTTATCATGTCTCTTCTGTTTTAAGAAAGTCAACTTTTTTATTCCAAATTCCCAATCATATTTTCAATAAACATAAAGCAGAACCACATTTATTTTGGGTCTACCATGTAAAAGTACTGTATGATATAATGTTGAACATGAATTTTGGAGCCAGGTAGACTTGGTTTGACTTGCTACCACTAAACCTCTGTTTCTGTATGATTATAATGAAATAATTATAGCAATACATAGATACCAAGATTGGAATGAAAATGATATGAAGGATCTGCCTGTGCATATTACTCAGTTCCTTAGGCAGATTGAGTTTCCCTTATCAGAAATGTTGGAACTGGAGACTATCATGCTAAAAGAAATAAACAATCCCCGAAAACAAAGGCCCAATGTTCTCTCTAATGTGTGGATGCTGACTTAGAATAGGCAGGGGGAGGGAGGAATGGGGGATTGGATGGGGAAATGGGGGAAGAGAGGGGGATGGGAATGGGAAAGATAGTAGAATGAATCAGACATAATTTTCCTGTATTCATGTATGAATACATGACCTATGGAACTCCATATCATGTACAATCAAAAAAATGGGAAGCTATATTCCACATATGTAGATATGTCAAAATATACTCTACTGTCATATGTAACTAAAAAGAACAAATAAAAAACTGGAGGAAAAAAAAAAGAAATGTTGGAATAAGAAAGAAAAAAATAGAAAAGCTTAAGGACCAGAAGTTTTCTGGATTTGATAGTTTTTCAGATTTTGGAGCATTTGCATATATGTAATGAGATATCTTAGAGATGGGACCCAAGTCTATATACAAAATTTATGTATGTTTCATATACATGTTATATGAGTACCTGAAGATAATTTTACATATATTTTTTATATTTTTAATGCATCTGTGGTTTTGTGTATGTGTGTGTGTGTGTGTGTGTGTGTGTTACTGGGGATTGAACTCAGGGACACTCTGCTACTGAGCTACATCTCCAGCCCTGTGTATTTTTATTTTAAGACAGGGTCTCACTAAATTGCTCAGGTTGGCCTTGAGCTTCTGCTCCACCTACCTCAGCCTCCTGAGTAGTGGGGATTATAGGTGTGCACCAGGCACCTGGATTGCAGTTCATCTTGACTATATTCCATTACATAAATTCAGTGTGGAATTTTCCACTTGTGGAATCATGTTGGTGCTCCAAACGTTTTAGATTTAAACAGAGCATTTTGGACTTCAGATTTTTGGATTTGGAATGCTCAGCCTATATAACAGTATTTGCTAATATATGTTAATTGTTTATATTTTGCCAGTTCCATACCAAGTGCCTTATAAATATTATCTCACTTAATTTTCACAACTACTTGAGATTATTTTGATTTTTTTTGAAAAATAAGACTGAAGAAGCTTTTTTATAGTCTCACAGCTAATAGCTGGTAGAGCTAGAATTTAAACGTTTATTAATTTTGGTCCAAATCTCATAGTCTCACTCATATTCCATTGTTTTGGGGGGATACCAAGGCTTAAATCCAGGGGTGCTTAACCACTGAGCAATATTACCAGTCCTTTTTTATTGTTTGGGACAAGGTTTCACTAAGTTGCTTAGGACCTCCCTAAGTTGCTGAGGCTGGCCTTGAACTTGCAATCTTCCTGCCTCAGTCTTCCAAGTTGCTGGGATTACAGTCATGTGCCACCATGCCCAACTTCATATTCCATTTTAATTAATAAATACAATAGGTGTTTCTGGGACTTTGACTACTTGGGTTCCAACAGAAAGTGTTTGTGTGGTGAGTACTGTATGATTCTAACCATGTGGACCATGTCTTTCCAGGTTTCTTGGAGTCTCTGCCATGTCCATGGGCCATACCCTTTAATGAAGGCTGTAGAATCATCTTCCTGATCCCAGTAGCTCCAGTTGAGTCTACAGACCCTACCAAACTTGGAGTTCCTGGGAAGAGTGGAGTTGTCAGCAAGAGAGCCCTAGAGCTGAAATCCAGTGTGAACATGGCAGCCAGCCAGAATTTGCCCCAGCAAGGAAGACATGGCAATGCCTGTGAGGTGAGGAAAGGAGGAGATACCCAGGGACAGAAATTAATTCAGAACTTCAAATCCTGAGGGAGAGACTTTATATTATTGTTTGATTTGTAATACTTTTTACTAGGCAGGATCATTTTCACTCCATTTTTATATATTTATTTATTTTTTGATGATGTTGAGATTGAACCCAGGGCCTAATGCCTGCTAGGCAAGTGCTCTACCACTGACTTACACTCCAGCCCCTCCATATTTTTTTTAATTAAAAAAAAATTTTTTAGATGCATGGGCTTTTATTTTATTCATTTATTTATATGTGTTGCTGAATCGAACCCAGTGCCTCACACATGCTAGGCAAGTGCTCTAGCACTGAGCCACAGCCTCAGCCCCCCATATTTTTTATTGTTTACTTATTTCCCTTTTATGAATTTTCTTTTCTTATCCATGCTTATTTATTTATCTTAGCCTATGGTTTTTTTAAAGGTTTTTTTTTTTTTTTAATATTAAGGTTAATAACGTTTGCCGTTCTTGCATGTTTTGTGAATATTTTTGCCACTTTGTAATTTGCAGTTAGCTTGCAGTTTTGTTTACAAGTGGTGAAGCAAACAATTTGTATAAAATCTGGGATATCAATTAGTTCTTTAAAGTCTTGTTTGAAAAGTAATCCTTTCCTCTTTTACTTTCCCCTGGATTCCAGATCCTTAGAGGCAAGCACTCTTAATATTTTAATGTGTTTTTAAAGTTTTCCATATTTTCTATTAACTTCCCACTATGGAAGATAGATATTGAGCTTTTCTATACACCCCCACCCCACACACATATTCATTTCCTATTAACCGATTCTCCTTGGATAAATACAGTGTATATCAATATTTGGGTAAAGTGTTTGTCAGTGTTTGTTATTGTAACAATATGTAAGTAAGTCACATATTATCCATGCTGTGATTACTACTTATGTACTACTTTTTTCTTTTACCTGCAGTTAACAATTTTTTAATGAAGTTGTTTGTTTGCTTTACTATGTAGATATTAGTAATTCAACTCTAAATTCTTCCCAAGTGTTTAAATCTTATTTCCATATAGTCAAACACATTAGTAATAATTGTAGTGATAGTACTTTTTCTGTTTACTTATGTACTTATTTTTGATTGCCAAATGATAATTATATAAATTTATGGGTATAGTGTAATTTTTTTTTTGCTTAACCACTGAGCCACATCCCCAGCCCCTTTCTGTGTTTTATTTAAAGACAAGGGTTTCGCTGAGTTGCTTAGGGCCTTGCTAAGTTGCTGAATATGGCTTTGAACTTGCAGTCTTCCTGCCTCAGCCTCCCAAGATACTCAGATTACAGGCTAGTGTCAAAATGCCTGGCTACGTTTTTTATTTTAAATAGCTCTTTTTGCTTTCAGAATATTTTCTTTCAATAATGTGCTGTTTTTATTTTACAGATGTAGCACTTATTACTCAAAGGATAGTATTAATAATTTTTAAATTTAATTTTTAAAATATTTATATGGACACATGGCTCGAAAAGTTTAAAAAATTTGAAAGCTGTATAGTCTAAATTTTCTTATCCATATTTCTTCTATCTGCTCATCACTCCCTAATACACATAAGCAGGTTAGTTTTCTCTATTTGATTATAGTTGCTTTAAGTAAATTTTAAAAGGGCTGAGGATACATTCTTATTTTCTCCTTTTTCTTTCACAAAATGTGGCCACCCAATTTCATAATTTTTTGTTAATTGAAAATATTTTCGTGAAATATAGCACAATTATAAACTATGCTGCTGTGAGCACTTTTTTGGTACTGGGGATTGAACTCAGGGTCACTTTGCAAGTGAGCCACATCCAGCCATTTCTGTTTTTTATTTTTTTAAAAAAAATTAAAATACTTTTATTTGTAGATGGACACAATACCTTTATTTTGTTTGTTTTTATGTGGTACTGAGGATCAAACCCAGTGCCTCACTGATGCTAGGCAAGTGCTCTACCACTCAACTATAACCTCTGCCCTTTGTTTATTATTTTGAGGTAGGGTCTCACTAAGTTGCTGTGGTTTCACTAAGTTGCCCAAGCTGGCCTTAAACTTGTGATTCTCCTTCCTTGGCCTCCCAAGATGCTGGGATTACAAGTGTTTTCTACTGTGCCCAGTCTGAATACTCTTATTTGTGTCTCCTCGTGCACATGTGTACACCCCCTTTTAAGTATATGCATTCAGGTGGAGTTAATGATTCTGAAGTTCAATCTATATTTTATCAGTGCTTATTGTTGTATTACTTGTGATAGCCAATAATTGGAAATGACAAAGGTGTTAATCAATAATAAAATGGTCCAGTAAATTAAACATATTATTGAATGAAAGAAGCCAGGCATGCAAGAATGCATTTTGTTTCAATTTAAGTTTTTGTCTTGTTTTGTGTTTTGTAGCGCTGGCGCCTTGTGCATGCTATGCAAGCATCTACCACTGAGCCACATCCCCAGCCCTTATGTGAAGTTTTAACATAGGAAAAACAAACAAACAAACAAACAAACAAACAAACAAAAAACAAAACCACATTTGTAAAGGGGTATATGCATCATTGGTAAAACTAGAAAGCAAAAGAAGGAAGTGCTTGTCATTCTAGGCAGGACAACAATTTTATTGATTAGTGGAAAGGGGGAGGAAACATGGGGAAGACTTCTGGGCAAGTAGCTGGCAATGTTCACTTTCCAGGAGGGGTGGGAATTGGGTAAGTATTTGCCTTGAATAATTCGTTAAGCCAGGCTGTATTTATGTTCCATGTGTTTTTCTGCATAATTATTCTATTTCATGGTAAAGGGAGGAAAAAAGTACCCTCCAATTTTTAAAATATTTTTTTGTAGATAGACACAATATCTTTATTTATTTTTATGTGTTGCTGAGGATTGAACCCTGTGTCTCACATGTGTGAGACAAGTGCTCTACCACGGAGCCACAACCTCAGCCCAGTACCCTCCAACTTTGACTTTAGTAGCCCATATATACTTCCTAAAGGCAGCTACAGATTATTCAAACACATACTTACATGCATGCTTGTACACTCACATACTCACCTGTATTCTTTTTTTGTGTATGATATTAGGGATTTAACCCAGGGGTGCTCTACTTCTGAGCTGCATTCCCAGCCCTGTTTTTTTATGAGGGTGGGTGGGTGAGGTAACCAGGGATTGAACTCAGGGGAACTCAACCACTGAGCCACATCCCCAGCCCTATTTTGTATTTTATTTAGAGATAGGGTCTCACTGAGTTGCTCAGCACCTCACTTTTTCTGAGGCTGGCTTTGAACTTGAAATTCTCTCACCTCAGCCTCGTAAGCCACTGGGATTACAGGCCTGTGCCACTGTGCCTGGCCCCAGTCCTGTTTTTTTATTTTATTTTGATATAGTTACTGAGGTTGACTTTGAACTTGCAACTCTCCTGCCATGTCATTGGGATTACAGGCATGAGCCACCATGCCCAACTCCTATATCCAATTATTTTTTTAGTTGAGACTTTTGAATTGTGCATATTCATGGGATACCATTTTGATGTCCCAATAATCTGTATACATTATATATTGCTTAAGTCAAGGTAGTTGGAGTATCCATTACCTCATGCATGTATCATTTCATTATGGCAATAACATTCAAAAACTCATCTTCTAGTTGTTTTGAAATATACAACACCTCATTGTGAAATACCCTATATCCATTTTTAAACCCAAATGTTAGCATATAGTAAGAACTTCCAGGCTAGGGTGTAGGCTTAGTGGTAGAGCATACCCTTGGCATTTGCAATGCCCTGGGTTCAATCCCCAGCACCAAGAAAAAAACAAAAATAAATCAACAACTTCCAACACTTGATTTTTTCAATTAACAGTAAATCTTGGTTATCATTCCAAGTTAGTATTTGTAATGGATTACCTCATTCCTTTTAAAGGCTGAATCTTATTCTATTATATGGGTGTATCAAAATATGTTAACCATTCCTGTATTAATAGACACATAAGGTTATTTCAGTCATTTTGGAATTATACACAATGCTGCAATGAATATCCTTATGCATATCTCAGTTAAGTCAAGGGAAAGTATATTTAAAAAAAATTTCTATAAGTAGAATTCACAGGATAAATGATACATACACTTTCATTTTTGATAGATAGGGCAGCATTAACTGCCTTGTAGATTATGTTAGTTATATGAGTGCCTGTTTTCACCATAACCAAGACAATACAGTGTCTTGTTATATTTGATTTTTCTTTTTGACCCATTGGATAGATTAAAATATGCTATATCAGTACAGATTTAGTTTGTGTTTGTCTTGTGACTGAGGTTGAATGTATGTGATTGTGTTTAAAGAGGCTGCTTATTTTTTTGTGAGATTGATTCATTGATTGGTACCAGAGGTTGAACCCAGAGGTGCTTAACCACTGAGCCCCACTGAGCACATCCCCAACCTTTTTATTTATTTATTTTTATTTTGAGACAGAGTCTTGCTAAGTTACTTAGGGCCTCCCTAGGTTGGTGAGGCTGGCCTTGAATTTGTGATCCTCCTTCCTTAGCACCTCCCCCAAGTCACTGGGATTATATATGCATGTACCACCATACTCAACTGAGCAGTTTTAAAATTTCCTTTGCTGATTTTTCTCTCAGGTTGTTTCTATTGATATGAAGGGCATTGTTTCTTTTTTGTTTGTTTGTGGTGCTGGGATTTGAGCCAGGGCCTGGTGCATGCAAGGCAAGCACTGTACCAACTGAGCTATATTCCCAGCCCTATTTCTTGCTTTTAATGTGCCACAGACTATTTTTGCAGCTTCTCATTTGTCTTTTTTGGGGGGAGGGGATGTTGAGGATTGAACCAAGGGCCTCATGCATGCTAGGCAATTTCTGTATCACTGAGCAAATGAGCCCCTCATTTGTCCTTTTTTTGTGGTGCTGGGGATTGGACCCAGGGCTTTGTGCATGGCAGGCAAGCACTCTACCAACTGAGCTATATCACCAGCCTTTATTTATCTTTTGAATGGAA